GTCACTGGATCCAAACCAGTCACTGCCTCCAAACCAGTCACTGGATCCAAACCAGTCACTGCCTCCAAACCAGTCACTGGATCCAAACCAGTCACTGCCTCCAAACCAGTCACTGCCTCCAAACCAGTCACTGGATCCACACCAGTCACTGGACAAGCCTCTGGAGTTAGATCAGTCACCTGACCACTCAGACTGGAGCTGGACCAGTCACTGCTAAAAGAGCACACAGTGAACCAGAGAATTCACTAGAATCGGAGCACTGGAGCCAAACCCATCCTTGGAAGCAGAACCTTCAGTTGAACTGGACCACTTACTGTTGTCATAGATGGGGTTTGTCACAATGGGACTGAGTGCTCTGGTGTAGAGGCCGTTCTCGTCTTGGAGGAGGACCTGGATGCACAGGCGGACCACGTTCAGGTCATACTCCTCTGTCTGCAGCAGCTGCTCTTTGGGCACTGAAATCAAACAAAAACATGCAAACTGAGCTAATGAACAAGGRGAACCCAGAGATGCAGGTTCTGCTGGGAATATTTGGGCCCTGGAAACCCTAACCTAGGGGTCTGCAGTTCTGGTCCAATTTATTTAGTGGGAAAAGGAACAGAAATGGCAGCAGATCCACATTTCACCGTGTCCATGCAGCCACCCATTATGAGCTGACACATACCCCTGCCTTATTATTACTGGACCCCTGCTGTGACCCGTTTATTATCGGACCCCTGCCGTGACCCGTTTGTTTCTTCAGTTACTTTAAAACTGAGGCAGACTGAGAAACTTTTTTTTACATGAAGCTAATTTTTTGCTACAGGACCTACCATCTGTCTGTCACTTCCTGCCAGGCAGGAAAGATTTCAGAATCAGAAGAGTTTGCTTGTAAAGATGTTCAGACAGCTCAAAGTTAGTGTCTCCATCAGTCTTTAAGCTTCTTTGATCAAATCCTCCAATTGAATCTGGAATTGTGTAAAAACCTTTACAGATATGGAAAAAGCAGTTCAGTCATGTGAACTGGTTAAACTTTAAATGAAGGTTCTGCTGTAAAATCTGAGCTTTAGGTCCAAACAAGACGACAGGTCCTCTCCATCAGACAGAACACCTACATGCCTTTGACTCTAAATGAAATGTAAAGACATCACCTGTTGGCTTGAACTTCAACACTGAGTTGTTTTTTTTACACTCCAGATGTTTGCCGCACAAACACAAACAGCCCTACATCAGATATTATCCTTTCAGAGTCAAAGCCCTGCAGATACAGCTCTCACTGACAGACACCCACACACTGACAGACACCAGGCTTTCACATCTGCCTACTTTCTCTTCCTCCAGCTCTCATTTTCTATCTCCTCACGTCAAGACCCTCACCGCCTACAACCTGCCGTCTAGGTGACGCAGCGCAGCGTCACACTAGAATGGAAAAAGTTTGTGTGACACAGATAGCAAAAGATGAGACTCCTGTATGAGTGACCACAGCGTTGACGTGTGTGAGAGTGGTGGGACAAGTTAAAAACTCAACTCTTATAAGGTCTTTTTCTTGTTTCAAACTGTAAACACTGTTAACGTAACTTTGAACGTTTATTTTTTTCACACACATTCTAACAGGATGAATCTAGTCCTAACCCCACCTCAGATGAAAAAGGAGGTAAAAACTAAAAAGGTACATGAGATTTAAATGAACCCTAACAGCCTTCTTCCTCCATGAGCCTTTCTGGTGTCAATACATTCTCTAAGGATCCAAACTTTGTTAAAGACTATATTTATTTACCAAACCAGGTCCAATTCTCTTCTTGTGTCTGTTTCAGAACTCAGGTAGCATAAAACAATGAAAAACTCTGTCAGACAGCTCGATGGCAGAATGTAACCCTAACCCTAACTGGTGATCAGGGCTTCTGGACGGTCAGATGTTGGTCATTGGTGCTGATGGCTGTGGATTACCTGAGTTAGAGCTCTCAGCAGAGAAACTGGAGGAGGCAGAATTTTAACCAAGTTGAATCTATTGGAGCAAACACTGAGGAAACATGAAGAGGTGGTTTGACTGTTGCACGTGTCAGTGGAGTATGTCTCTGACTGAAGCAGCGGCTGGATGGACAGGTGGTTTGAAATGAAATGAAAAACCAAGGTTAGCATGAAGCCTGCAGGGGGGTGAATGATGTGGTGGTGTTGGGAGGTAAGTGGTTGGCTTGACTGTAGGAGCAGAATGTGAGAAAAAAGAGGGGGCAGGTGCCAGTTTTACCACAGAAAGTGTCTCCACTGGATGAGTCAGTGTCTCCACCTTTCAGGCTGTGAGGCCTTCTGAAGCTGTCGTTACCAGCTCCATCGTTACACATTAATAACAACCTAATTACTACTGCATCATTAATAACAACATGTCATTAATAACAACCTAATTACTACAGCATCATTAATAACAACCTAATTACTACTGCATCATTAATAACAACATGTCATTAATAACAACCTAATTACTACAGCATCATTAATAACAACCTAATTACTACTGCATCATTAATAACAACCTAATTACTACTGCATCATTAATAACAACATGTCATTAATAACAACCTAATTACTACTGCATCATTAATAACAA